GTGTCCAGTTTCCAGGTGTCTGTTGGTATCTAGAAGTTTTACTCCTGAGTCCAGTTTTGAGGGGTCTCTGTTGGTATCTAGAAGTTTTACTCCTGAGTCCAGTTTCCAGATCTCTGTTGGTGTCTAGAAGTTTTACTCCTGTGTCCAGTTTCCTGGTCTCTGTTGGTGTCTAGAAGTTTACTCCTAAGTCCAGTTTCCTGGTTTCTGTTGGTGTCTAGAAGTTTTACTCCTGAGTCCAGTTTCCAGATCTCTGTTGGTGTCTAGAAGTTTTACTCCTGAGTCCAGTTTCCTGTTCTCTGTTGGTGTCTAGAAGTTTTACTCCCGAGTCCAGTTTCCAGGTCTATGTTGATGTCTAGAAGTTTTACTCCCGAGTCCAGTTTCCAGATCTCTGTTGGTGTCTAGAAGTGTTACTCCTGAGTCCAGTTTCCAGGTCTCTGTTGGTGTCTAGAAGTTTTACTCCCGAGTCCAGTTTCCAGGTGTCTGTTGGTGTCTAGAAGTTTTACTCCTGAGTCCAGTTTCCAGATCTCTGTTGGTGTCTAGAAGTGTTACTCCTGAGTCCAGTTTCCAGGTCTCTGTTGGTGTCTAGAAGTTTTACTCCCGAGTCCAGTTTCCAGGTGTCTGTTGGTATCTAGAAGTTTTACTCGTGTAAACAGAAAAACTTGCAGAAACTGAATTCTGAGCCATACTGTCTTTAAACATTAATTTCTGTCACAAACACAGTGGCCTCCATTACTTCTACAGATGTCACTATTAAATCATGCAAGTGAAACATTTCTTCAAGCATTGTTCAAATAAATATCTGAGACTTACCCTGCCTAATCTGTATTTCTGTTGGTTTTGAAATATTTCTTAAACAATATCAAAAACAAAGCTCAAATTGGTACTTCAAACTAATCTTTAAAGTCCTATGAAATTCATGTAAAGATAAACAATGCACGAAAAGCATTAGTTTCATTATAAAAAAGTATGTTTTCCTGATATGAGGTTAGTGTTTTTTCCTTTCTACGTATGGTGATATCTGTTTGTTCATACACAGACTTCTCTTTCAACTGGTACAAAAACAACTAGTAAGGTGGAGCTACTTGTCAAAGGTTAATGGCTGGATGTACCTACATGGCCTCTATAACAGAATTCACCAGACAGTATGATATGGCAGAGTGCTAGGTCAAAGGTTAATGGCTGGATGTACCTACATGGCCTCTATAACAGAATTCACCAGACAGTATGATATGGCAGAGTGCTAGGTCAAAGGTTAATAGCTGGATGTACCTACATGGCCTCTATAATAGAATTCACCAGACAGTATGATATGGCAGAGTGCTAGGTCAAAGGTTAATGGCTGGATGTACCTACATTGCTTCTATAACAGAATTCACCAGACTTTATGATATGGCAGAGTACTAGGTCAAAGGTTAATAGCTGGATGTACCTACATGGCCTCTATAATAGAATTCACCAGACAGTATGATATGGCAGAGTGCTAGGTCAAAGGTTAATAGCTGGATGTACCTAC